AGTCAGGCCTCTCTATTTTTAAATGTTGCTAGAAGTAGTATAAAGTGTTATTCCAAAATAAATTTCATTTTCCATAGTAATACAAATGTATTTAGTTAGCCCATTCTCAGCCAAGAATCTGTTTTAAAAAAATCATAAACATAACCCCTAAAATTGCAGAAATGAAAAGAACTGTAGCTATGAGCCAAGATAACTTTAAATGTAAAAAAGGTTTTAGTTTCAAAAGCCATAAAAGTACTATAAACACCGGTTACACCAGGGGTTCTAATATTCCATAAAATATTTATAACACTCACAGAAATACAGTTATATCAGATCAATATTTTACTGAAATTGAATGTATTAGTTGCTGTAATTATTAAACGCTTAAATGTTTTTCATGGTGTTCTTCGAATTTAGAAAGGCCCATTTATAGAAGAAGTAAAGAAGGGTAAAGGGCCTAAATTCCTGAAGTTTCCCAAATAAGGCTAAATTAGTGCATCCTTCTCTCCCAATCAAATTCTTCTATAGAGCAAGAGGTCTCTCAAATCTCACCCTCAGCTGTAGAATGTCTCCAAAGGCTGTCCTTAGAAAGAGTGTCTCCTAAGCCCCTGTCCCTGTGGTCAGGGGCTTCCTGCATATTTGTTATTGATGTTGCTTGTTTCTCTAATACTGAAGTTTCAATGAAGAGTTTTTTCAAGATTTCTGTACTTTACCCTGTCTTTTCTTCTTCATTAAAACAAAACAAAACAAGACTGGCCAGGCACAGTGGCTCATGCCTGTAATCCCAGCACTTTGGGAGGCTGAGGCGGATGGATCACAAGGTCAGGAGTTCAAGACCAACCTGGCCAATATGTTGAAACCCTGTCTCTACTAAAAATACAAAAATTAGCTGGGCGTAGTGGCAGGTGCCTGTAGTCCCATCTACTCGGGAGGCTGAGGCAGAAGAATCGCTTGAACCTGGGAGGCAGAGGTTGCAGTGAGCCGAGATCATGCCACTGCACTTCAGTCTAGGTGACAGAGTGAGACTTCTCTCAAGAAAAAAACAAAACTATAGAAATTTTTTTGGTTTCAGAGAAATGCAAACAACAACAACAAAAAAAGGTGCTATTATGTCATTGGATTTCATACCTTATTAATGGCTGTCAGAGCACTTTACAACGGTAGGAAAGCATTTAAAAACAATTACTAGTTCTCTGTTATAGACTTTCAGAGAAGAAACCTGAAGGATCTCCAAGGAATTGTAAAGACAGGTACAAGTTGTGGGGCCTGAGAACCTCCGGCTGCCTTGAGTTTCCATTTCGATGGGGCCACTTTTTCTACTTCCTCCTCCTTTTTAAAAGTGTATTTTGGCCCCCTGAAGGCAGCGTCCTCAAATGACAGCAAAACCTCCAAGAAAAATATAAACTCTTCTTTCACAATGCTTATTGCGATGACCTCTGCTTTTACCTTGATGGAAAATAAATATTCCCTATCCTGGGACAGAATGAGGAAATTAGAAAGGTGGCCAAATCTATACTCAGAGATTCTAACATTCTCTTTATACAGAGTTCTAGTTCCTTCATAGTTTACCTACAGGGCCCCCTACTAATCTTGCACTCGTGGCCTTTATTCACCCTAAAGAGTAAATAACACTTTGAAATATTTATAAATAAATTAAATAATTGATGTACTTTAGCGTTCAATGTGATTTGACGTGAAAATTTAATATTCTAAATTAATTGTGGGGTACAGGAAGCAAATAGAATATAAAATCTCTTGCTCCATCTATAGGAATGTCATCCCTGCATGTAACTGTCCTAAGCCCTATAGGAAAAATGTTGCCATTCAACATTCTATAAAATTTAACTCAAGAAAGTGGCCGGGCACAGTGGCTCACACCAGTAATCCGAGCACTCTAGGAGGCCGAGGCAGGTGGATTACTTGAGGTCAGGAGTTCGAGACTACCCTGGCCAACATGGTGAAACCCCATCTCTGCTAAAAATACAAAAAATTAGCTCAGCATGGTGGCAGGCGCCTGTAATCCCAGCTACTCGGGAGGCTAAGGTAGGAGAATTGCTTGAACCTGGGAGGCAGAGGTTACAGTGAACCGAGGTTGCGCCATTGCACTCCAACCTAGGCAACAAGAGTGAAACTCTGTCTCAAAAAAATAAGAAAATAAAAATAAAAGAAAGTAAATTATCATAATGCCTTTCTCAGGCCAAAGTTACCATTTGGGGGCCAAAGAGCTTGTACCACAGAGTATAAAAATACATCTATTACATTTGTGTCCTTAAAACACCAGATAGCAGCATCTTAACTAAAGAAAAAACAACAACAAAAAACAAACAAACAAACAAAAGTTAAATGTAGCTTAGCTGCATTTAATAGACACAGTCTTATAATATTTAGGGTTGTGCAAAAGTAATTGTGGTTTTTGCAATTTTAATTGCCAAAGATACAGCTGACTGTATCTTCTGACTCTAAGACTACTATTTTAACTGCAAAAACCACAATTACTTTTGCACCAACCTAACAAATACACACAAGAATAAAATGCAGTTGTATCTGCACATATTATATAAGCATCTCCAATACCAGGTTCCCAAAAGCCTATCAGTAGCTTTATTTCTATTTTATTTCATCAATAGTAATATTAGTATTAATATTTTAACATAAATGATTGATGACATTATTCTTGCACCTTATCCTCAACATGTCAGAAACCAAATCCATAATAGTATTAAATCTTTCCCCCACCCAGATGATCTGGTTTCCATTAGTGGCACCAACAGACCCCTCCCTCCTTTCCATTCACACTGGAAGCCAAGGAGTCATCCTTAACTCACCCCAAGTCATGTCTCATACTGCAGACAAACCAATCTTTCAAAAGTGGAAATCCTTTCTTGTCAATTCTTTGCTAGAAAAAAAGAGGGCGAAAAAGCTGATGCCTCTTTATTACACACTAAATTAAGCACACTTCAATTTCCTGTGTTTTAAAACTGTTCAATATATTAGACATTATTAGACATCATAGTATATTAGATATAAATACTTTTAATTTGTACATATTGCATTCATATTGTTCCTATTATAAATTATGGTATTTTCTTTTTTTTGGTTTTTTTTTTTTTTTTTTTTTTTTTGAGTTGGAGTCTTGCTCTGTCACCCAGGCTGGAGTGCAGTGGTGCGATCTTGGCTTACTGCAACCTCCACTTCCTGGGTTCAAGCGATTCTCCTGCCTCAGCCTCCTGAGTAGCTGGGACTACAAGCACAGGCCACCACACCCAGGTAATTTTTGTATTTTCAGTAGAGACAGTGTTTCACCATGTTGGCCAGGATGGTCTCAATCTCTTGACTTTGTGTTCCACCTGCCTTGGCTTCCCAAAGTGCTGAGATTACAGGTGTGAGCCACCACGCCTGACCTAAGTTATGTTTCTTATTAGCTAAACTTAATGACTACTAAGTGGCAGGCACTGTCTTTATGCTTCATATAAATAGTCTTAGATAACCTCAGGATAGATGCTATTATATCTATTATATTTTATTCCTAAAACAAGTAAATCAAGATCACAAAATTAGGTAACAGATAAGGAGAATTCATTTCAGCAAAGGTTGTGCTATGTCTGAAGTAACAGCAATAACCCCTAGAACAGCAGGGACTCAGCTGACTGTATCTTCTGACTCTAAGACTAGTGGCATTAATAATTCCCTTCCGTCTGTCCTTTAACCTGAGTATAAATAAAAATTTCACATGGAATTAGTGTTATTATTATCCAGAGGAATTAGGGGAGTTACTAGCAGAGGTCACAGAAATTCTTATTCCTTATATTTTCTCTGAGTTATGACATAGTGAAATGTTCCTGTTTGTAACTAATTTTCCTATTTCTTTGATGGTCATATCTGGATTTTCCCCAACAATTCTGATTCCAGACTTTCTGCCTATAACTCTCATAATCAAAGGCATGGTTTAGGGGAACTGCTCTAGAAGATATTCTCAAAAAATTGTAAAGCTACATGTTGACATGACATTGTAAAGATTAGGATAGAAAGATGTTAATGGAAACAGAGTGAAAGGAAACCGTGGGTCCTTAGGTATTTTATCCTAAGTTATGGACTTACGATGCAAGGCTGGTGTTGCTCATGAAGGTATACAGCCAATAAATTAGGAGAAAATAGAGCCTAAAACATTCTTTCAAATGGCCAGGCAATTGCAATGAACAAGAATAAGGAAGGATCCTCTCCTCTTTCTTTCATAAGCACATCTCCTTTAATGCAAAAGGAAAGAACCAAAGTTTAATAAACCTTGTGATATTAAAGGTTTGACCAGAACAGCAACCTTTGTTTTAGAAGATGAAAATTTAATTACTTCTCTTGAAGTAAAACCCAAATATAAACGGAATCTTTAACATGTGCTCAATTAATCTAGTTTAGATGACATCAAATAATAAAAAAATTGATATTTCAATTTTCTCTGAGGAGAAAATATTAAAATAAGTTTATGCACACTGAATGTAAGAATGTTGAAGAAATTCCTCATTATATGTTGTGGAAGATTTAATGAAACATGGTTAATGAATAGAAAGGTGTTTCAAATCATATACTTTTAATTTTGAAAAACAGTTCTGTCACAAAATTTTGATACTTAAGGTCTGTTGATATACTTGGCATAAATAAATTAACTTGGATGGTTAATTAAATGTCAGGTAACACACTAAGATGGCTAGCTATTTTATGGTGACTTTGGAAAATTCCAAAAGCAAACGTTTGTCTCTTAAAAGTCAAGGGATTGTAATGCCAAAGCAATGTCTCCAGGTCCTGAAAACATTCATCATTTTTCTCCTTGCAAAATGTCCCCAAAAGGAGACCATCCAAGAAAAATTATATAAACTTGGACTATAGCTTTTGTTTTTATAAATAAGACAAAAGTATTCCTAATTAAGAAATGAAAGATATGAATTTTCTAGGCTTTATATCTTAGGTTGCTCATTATTTTAGCTTCTCCAACCCAAGTCTATATTAATGTGCTTTTCTTTCTCCAGGGAGATAAAGAAGCTGAATTAGGGCTTCCCTTTTCCCCACTTTGTGATCGGAAGTCAACCATGGTGGCCCAGTCACAAATAGGTAATACTGATGATTTGTGGTGGCGGAAAGTGAGTGTGTGCTTGTCAGTTTTCAAATGTGTAAACCATGTTGTTTAAAGGGGTAACTTCCATGAAAACCTCACTCCATATTCATGACACATTTGATTTTTAAATGGATCTCTATGGTGCTGAATAAGAATTATTGAAGCATTTTCACAAAATGAATTCAATAAAGTAACAGTAAATGTAATTGTTATCATGGTTCTAACCCTTTTACAAAATATAACATTGTCTTGTGTGGGAGACTATTTTATGTTATTTTATTGCTGATTACTGTTTTCTGTAATTTAATTCTTTAGATAGAGGTCAACTCAATGAAAATATTAGTGCCCTTGTTCTATCACTAAGTTTCCATGGTATGCTTAATATAGTAGTGCACATTTCATTTGGAAAAATTTTCTCTCATGATGTGAATAGATTAACCAACAACAGGAAATTTGCAAAATGATAATGCCCCCAACCACATTCATTCTTATCATCTGTATTTGGGTTGGGGACTTCAAGTCCAGTTCATTATTAAAACATATTATTGCTGTGTTGCATGACTCAAATACTTGTAATAATTATTCGCTGAACCAGCATTTTTGTTACTGAACAATACGATCAATAAACACAAGGATCACTTCTTACCTGTGTAGTTATGCTGCGGCACCATCCATCACAAAGCTTTGGGGCAGTCAGCTGTGGGAAAGCTGCGTGCTCCGACCTCTTCCCCTTCCCATGCATGTTTCAACAGCTGTTTTTCTAGAGACCATAACACAGGTGCCTATTCTTGCTTAGTAAGTGTAAATGTGGCAGGCTAAGGACCTGATGTGGCAAGCTACGAATGGAAGTTTCTGAGGCTTGTTGCTGTAATATAAATTGCAGCCATGTTAGTAAAGGTGATGCCCCAGTTGACAGTCTACACATCTCAGGCATGTAAGAACATAGACAGAACTGGCCGGACGCGGTGGCTCACACCTGTATTCCCAGAACTTTGGGAGGCCGAGGCGGGCAGATCACAAGTCAGGAAATCGAGACCATCCTGACTAACATGGTGAAACCCCGTCTCTACTAAAAAATACAAAAGATTAGCCACGCGTGGTGGCGGGCACCTGTAATCCCAGCTACTCGGGAGGCTGAGGCAAGAGAATCACTGGAACCCAGGAGGCAGAAGTTGCAGTGAGCCGAGATCGCGCCACTGCACTCCAGCCTGGGCGACAGAGTGAGACTCCTTCTCACACACACACAAAAAAGAACATAGAACTTAAAGTAGTACCCTGGGTGATCAGTTAACACTGATTTAACATGAAGGCATCCATTAAAACTATTGAAGTTTTATTAAATTAAAAATGTGTCTTATTATACATTATAAGTAATGCAGTTACTTGAAATGTGAATTACTTTTATCCAAGCATTGGATGGACAATCTTTAAATGTGCATACTTTACAGGACATTATCACTTAAAAAGCCCCCCTCCAGCTATTCTTCTTTATTCAGGTGGTAGTCCATTGCTCTCAGATGTGTTTCCAACAACAAATTCTTGACTTGAGGCACCCACAGCTGTCCTGGGATCTGGGATATTGCCATGTACACAGACCTTAGAATAGGTTGTTGTCTCCTCCTCTGCCTAAACACGGGATGGAAAATGCTTCCAGAGGACAATGCCCTTTTCTGTGTGTGTCATTTTCTATCTTGATGAGTACTTTAAATGTAAAAGTCTTCATTCAATACTGACATCTCAAAGTGGTGGGATTAATGCTGTCTCCCAGAGATGTTACTTTTCTCTTCACTGATTTGACAGAACACACCCACATGCTGTGAACTAACACTTTACATCCAGAGAACAATAAACAGCCATTTGAAATATTAACACACTGGCAGAAAGCTCTGACTGATATAGTAAGAAACAAAAAGCAATTGTCGTCCTGTTACCTGAGAAAAACCTTCAATTACTTAATTTCTTTGGAGCTTAGATATGATTTCTTGTTAGTAAATAATGAAATCCAAAATGTACATGATGTGCTTTCAAAAAGGATAATGATCCCTGTTGTTGAGAGAAAACTATAGTCACTATCATTGGATCTAAATTTATTGTTAGCAATAGTGTATTATTTAAGGCTGAACAGTAAATAGAAAAGTCGATATATTTGAGTTAACAAGCTTAAATTGCGTCACTTCCATGGCTTCAAGTACTATTTTATAGAGCAGTTGAACCATCTCTAAAGATTGTTATTAGATTAAAACAATACAAAGGGTAAGCAGAACCAGTATTTTAGTTGATACTCGCTATCCCAGGATTGTGAGAGGCTCTTCATTATTTCTGATTTCAGAATTCAGGAAATTGTAACACTTGAATTTCTCTGTCTCTCTCTCTCTTCATTTTGGCTTTTGTAGGTTTCATCGATTTCATAGTAGAGCCAACATTTTCTCTTCTGACAGACTCAACAGAGAAAATTGTTATTCCTCTTATAGAGGAAGCCTCAAAAGCCGAGACTACTTCTTCCTATGTGGCAAGCGGGTATGATATTTTCTTTTTTGCATCATTTTTCATCTTTGTGATGTTTAGTAACCTTTTCCTTAATGATTATCTATATTTCTCACATCTAGGCAGAGAATTCTCACAATTATTAGGGAGTATTGCCACCTAGTGGCTTTATATTATATTGCATCTGCCTTTGAGAACTGAAGTTTAATACACAAAATATGAAATACTAAGGTGTGTACTAAGGAGAATCCAGTGTGGGGTGGGAGAGAGAGGAGGTGAGCAGCTGCCATGTGCTCAGAACTTGTACTGACCATCTACTACCCTGCTTTTCTAGTCGGTTTTGTAAAGTTTTTCAGGTTTTCCTCGTTCACCCCATATCCTGATGGTGTTCTTTGGTTTGTTTGGTTGTTACTGTTAGCTCAACCACCATTGTGGGGTTACACATTGCCGATGCACTAAGACGACCAAATGCAAAAGGTTCCATGAGCGATGGGTCCTATTCCTCAGACTACTCCCTTGCAGCAGTGGACCTGAAGAGCTTCAAGAACAACCTGGTGGACATCATTCAGCAGAACAAAGAGAGGTGGAAAGAGTTAGCTGCACAAGGTAGTGTTGTTTATGAGGCTTTACTGCCATCTCTCTCTGTCTTCACTTCTCCTCTAAGAGTTTGAATTATTTCTTCTAGATTTCTTCTTCTATAGAATGTGTAAGCCCTTGATGGCATTTGGAATTTGGCTACTCTTTGATTATTCATGAGAAAGTTGGCTCATTTATTAGATAAAAAGAGGTTCTGGTTTGTTTGTGCCACATGGGCTGCAGATATGTGTATCAGTGGGTGGTGGCAAACTAGATACTGAAAGATGAGATAATGAAATGGTGACAAAACTTTGTGGTACAATATAGACTCCTGTGCTTTCGTAGAGGTGCTTTCCAGCCTGGATTTTACTTGGCAAGTAGCTTTTGTGTTGCATTAAAGGTGTTATCACTTCATGTCAGAGACTTGGGTGTGTTTTTTTCTGTTTCACTAAGTTGCTTTTTTGACTCAGAATTTTGACAAGAATTGGGGCAATCATTAGTAATCAACCACCACAGAAATCAAATGGGAAGGTAGCTATAGTTATTTCTGACATATTAGCTGCTTCAAATTAATTAGTCCATTTAGTAGGTTTGTGAGTCGGTATCCAAACAGTTATTATCTTTCGCGCAGGAATTAGCTTTTATATCCAGATCTGGCCTCTGCCTCTTCTCACACTCATTCCCACAGCTCTGCCTCCCTCATACACTACACTCCCTGCACAATGGCCTCTTGGAAGTTTAAAATACTCCAAGGTCTTTGTAGTTATTTTTTCAGCCAGAAATTTTTTTCCTTGTGCTTTTTGCAGCTTTAATATACTCAGGAATAAACTTATTTTTCTTAAAATGCATAATATAACATCAAAATAGAGTGTTAAATCATATTTATAGTCAGAGGAACACAATATTGAAAAGTTTTCAATTATCCCAAAAGTCAACCATAAATATAACATGTTTCCAGTGAAAATTCCAATATATTTTTCATGGAATTTAACAAATTGATCCTAAAATCTATATAGTATTGCAAATAGCTAAGAATAGTCAAGACAACCCCGAAGGATAATAAAAGAGGAAAAGAGGAGCACTTGCCGTATATCAGAATTTACTTATACTGAAGTAATAAAGTCAGTGTGACTGTGATGCAGAGATAATAAGATGGGCCTCAGGAATAGATCAGAGAGCCAGAAATGACACATTAATTCCTGCAGAACTTGACAGATGACAGACACACACATTCATATATTCAATCTTTTATATGTTCTCACATATTTGCCATTATGATGTTCTTCATTTCTTCCTGTGTGTCTGAGCTACTATTTGGTGTCATTTCTCTTCACACTGGAGTATTTCCTTAAGTATTTTCTTATAACACAGTTATGCTGACAATTAGATTTTCTTAATCTGGGAATGTCTGTATCTTACTTTTATTTATGAATAATTTTACTTGATTTAGAATTGTTGAATGATTTTTTTTTTCTGTTAGCACTTTCAATGTGTCATTCTATTGCCTCTGGCTTCTGTAGTTTCTGATACAGTGTTGACCAAAAATAAATTGTATTGTTGCTGTACTGAGTCTTATTTTTTTCTTTCTGTTTTCTAGACTTTATTTTGACTTTCAGCAATTTGATGATGATATATCTAGGGTTTTTTTTCAATATTCTACTTAGTGTTCATTGAGCTTCTTAAATGCATACATTAATAATTTGCATCAAATTTGGGAAGCTTTCTGCCATTTTGTTCAATGTTTTTCTTCTGCCTCTTTTTCTCTGTTCTCTAACTTAGGATTCTGGAAATTGTCCCGGATGCTCTGGATCTCTCTCAATTTCTTTAATTGTCCTTCCTTCTTTCCTTCCTTCCTTCCTTCCTTCTTCATTCATTTTTGATTGGCTGTTTTCTAATGATTTATCTTCAAGTTTACTGTTTCTTTCTCTGCCACCTCAATCCTACTGTTGATTTCACTGAATTAACTTTTTATCTCAGCTACTTTTTTAAAATTTTATTATTTCCATTTGCTTATTTTTTATAATGTCTATTTCTCTGTTGATATTTTATATTTTCATTCATTGTTAGCATATTTTCCTTTAATTCTTCAAAATTATTTTCTTTAATTTTAAAAACATATTTTAAAAACTTGTCTTGAATTTTTTTAGATCAATTTTAAAACTGACTATATAAATGGCCTCTCTATGGCTCTCTAATTTCTAGGATTTTTCTATGAAATCCTGCTGGTCTACCATTTACCCCAACTTGCACCCCAACCTTAGCCTGGCAAAGCTTGGGACTTTTCCCATCTAGTCTAAGCAGATTCACCATTTTATGTTCAAGTAACCAGAATTACTTGCTTCTTTTCCATTCCAAGTTGATTCTACCACATCCAGCAGGAAGGTTGGCTTTTGCTTCCATTCCCAGGTCAGAGTTGGAGAGGAAGATGGAGGAGTGGGAGTAACTTCAGGCAAGGAGGTCACAGGCTCCTGCTATTTTTACCTGAATGTTCAAGAATTTTTCAAGAATAAATGTTTCTCAAATTATTATGTCCCTTTGATTGATTTCCAGAGTCATTGAACAGTTGTTTTTATTAATGCTGTCTAGTTTTACACTCTTTTTTTAAGAAGAGAAAATACTCGACTTCTTTACATCACTATAGCAGGAAGTCTTCCTCTTCACCATAGGTTTTAAGAGAATTAAATGAATTTATTAATATAATTTGCTTAGACGTGTCTAGAGTACTAAGTGCTATATGAGTTTGCTGTTATCACTATAACTATTATTTATTATGTTTCTGCCATGTGTTATAGAAATAAGGGTTATAGGGCTACTATATAGTAACTAGGGGTATCCCTAATGCTGAATTCTAAATCCAGCAAAACTATTCAGAAATAAAGAAAATTAAAGACATTACCAGATTAAGAAAATCAAATTACTATGGAAATTGGGGATACTTTCTCTATAATAAGCCAGTAAGGAAAAGCTTCACTGAGGAAGAAATAATTTAAATAAATACACAACGGAGGTTAGAAAGAGAACCATGGAGAGGTCTGGGAGGGTGGGGGGTAACAAATTTTTAAACAAAGGGATTGGCTAGCACATTATGTAGGAGACCGAACTTGCCTGACATGCCAGAAACAATAAGAAGGGCAGTGAAGCGGAAGAAATTGAACAAGTAGGAATAATGTAGGCAATGTGATGGGTGGGCAATGTGGTGCCTGACCTTTGGTTTTGGCCCAAGAAAGACAGGAAACCAAATGTAGAGTTTTGAGAAAAAAAAGTTGACTGATATGAACTGAGGTTTCAAAAGGATTACTCTGCTACAGAATGGAAAATATTCTTTTGTTTGGGTAGTAAAAATAGAAACAAGGAGATCAGAAAGAAGGCTGTTGTTCATAACCCAGGAGAAGTATGGGAGCTTAGACCAGGTAGTAATGGTTGAGAGGGTGTATAATTTCTAGATACATAAAGACTGTGGCTTAAACCAGTATGCATGAGTAGAAGGAGGGTAAGCAAAAAGAGATTGGATTCTGGATATCCAGGTATTTTGAAAGCTGAACTGATAGGATTTGTTATCAGATTAGATGTAGGAAACAAAGTGAAGAGAAGAATCAAGAATGATGCCAGGTTTTTTGGTTTTCTTACATATTACTTGTATATAGGTAAAATTATATAATCATTTCATGGAACAATTTGGCACTCTGTAGGAAATTTAAAGATGCATGTGCCATACGTCTCGACAATTTTGCCTCTGTATTTTTACCCCAGAGAGACTTTTACGCATATGCATCAAAGACATGTCTAAAATATTCATAGCAGCATTGTTCACGAGTGCAAAATAAAGTGGAAAAAACAGTAAAATTGATTTATATACTATAGTATGTACATATTATGGAACAGCATAAAACTGTTAAAATTTAACTAATCACCAACAGGAATGAAAGACACAGTGTTGTGCAAAATAAGCAAACTGCTGGACTTTAGTAGGTGGTTTTCCTCTGACAGTGCGAAGGAGTCTGGGAGGTTTGGACTAAGCAAAATTCACCACAACGCAGCAAAGCGGCTGTGCCCAGCCTGCTTCTCTAGGTTCCTCCTCACTGGGCAGGGCATCTCTGCAGGAAATCCAGCAGCTCCAGTCAGGGGCTTACAGACAGGACTCTCAACTCCCTGGGACAGAGCACCTAAGGGGAGAGGAGGCTGCAGTTGCAGGTTCCACAGATTTAATCTTTCCTGTCTGCCGGCTCTGAAGAGAGCAGCTGACCCTAACAAGGGCGACTGTCTCAGCACAGTGCACCAGCTCTGCTAAGGGACAGACTGCTTCCTCAAGCAGGTTCCAGACCTTGTGCCTCTTGACTGGGAGAGACCTCCCAACAGGCGTCAACAGACACCTCATCCAGGAGAGCTGAAGCTTCCAGAGGAAGGAGCAGACAGCAATCTTTCATGTTCTGCAACCTCCATTGGTGACAGGGTCTGAAGTGGACTCCCATCAAACTGCAGCAGACCTGCAGAAGAGGGATCTAACTGTTAGAAGAAAAACTAACAAACAGAAAGCAACAATAACAAAAGCATCAACAAAAATGACCTCCCACAAAACCCCATCCAAAGGTTATCAGCCTCAAAGATAAAGGTAGATAAATCCAGTCATGAAGATGACCTGGAAGATGAGGAAGATGAGGAAGAAACAGTGCAAAAACGCTGAAAATTCCAAAGGCCAGAATGCCTCTTCTCCTCCAAATGATTGTGACACCGCTCCAGCAAGGACACAGAACTGGACAGAGAATGAGATGGGTTAATTGACAGAAGTAGGCTTCAGAAGATGGGTAATAACAAACTCTGCTGAGCTAAAGGAGCATGTTCTAACCCAATGCAAAGAAGCTAAGAACCTTGATAAAAGGTTACAGGAGCTGCTAACTAGAATAACCAGTTTAGAGAGGAACATAAATGACCTGATGGAGATGAAAAACACAGCACAAGAACATCGTGAAGCATATACAATTATCAATAGCTGAATAAATCAAGCAGAAGAAAAGATATCAGAGTTTGAAGAT